GTTTTTTCTTTGTGCGCTTTTTGCGTCCACCCCCACCCCCACAACCATTATAGATTCCGTATTCTGTAACTGGTTGCTCACGCATTGCGCAATGGCCTCCTACACTTGTTGTCAAACACCCACTGCAGCATAGGTCGCTCAAGACGTGTGGGCGGACCTTGACGACGCACGGTGGTCGGGAACCACGATCGCGAGGCAAGTTTGTGTGTGGTCCCGCCCTGTCATAGTGCGGATCTGACCCCGGCGCGATTTTTTCGTCGTTTCCATTGCACACATCAGGCCGTATGTGGCGGTAATCGAAGAGGTCGACCCCGCGTGGCCTTGTGAAAGGTCAATTAGTTGTTCGAACGTTACCCACCCAGCGTGTGTGCTAACATGCTCCAAGCCGGCCGTGTCGTCTGACAGATAAGTAAGTCGCGTATCTGTAGCACCAGGGTGGATTGACTTGGTATGACAACACTGCATGTGCCTATTCGTCACCCAAATGCGTTGTTGGTGATTTTAGACCGAGTTCGCGCCAACGATGGCTGTTGGACCCGGAGGCGTACTACGTGAACCAACCAATCTCACCAGGTTTCCCGCCGTGTTGTATACTTTACACGCAACCATGTACTGTAGGCTTCGGGTTGTGTGGGGCATATAAGTTAATGGGTGCCCTGTGTAGACAGCGGACGATTTCCGCATGTAGGACTGTATTTCGCTTTTGTGAACACCCCAATGTTACACCCTCGCTATTGCTGCATGCCTGTTACGGACGCATACGTTCTCGTCGGCGAATGTGACTCGCCGCGGGTACCACGGTGCTTGGTTATACTCTATGTATTGTCTGTGTTGAACATTGTTGAGCAAACAGCTACGTCGGTGCCCTTTCGGCATGCATACTTTGAAATATCGACCATCCACGGCAAGCTGCTGCCTCTATCCAGCGTCTAACCAGTTGTATGCATAGTCGTGAACATGAAATGGAGGGGGATGGTACAGCTATACCATGGTCGCTGGTGCATTCCGCATAACTTACATGGCCACCCTCTCCCCGGTAATTGCTCTTACACGACAGAGGCCATCCCTACACCAGAGTGGGAATTACCCTCTCCCTCCGCGTGGAGGTTTCCAGCATGGAAGCTTAGGCCACGCGACAAGTTGTTCGGGGGGTCCTTTTACGAGGGCCCAAGAGCCCCTGGCTACGACCACTTTGGGTTCGGGCGCGACGGCTACAATGCCGACGGCTACTCCAGGTCGGGGTTCAGACGTGACGGGTTCAACGACCTCGGCATGGACCGAGCCGGTCGAGACTTATTATGGTGGTGACCGGTTTGGCCAACCGCCCCCGCCGCCTCGTGATCCCCCGCCGGGATGGACACATCCACTGCCTCCAGGCGGCAGAAGAGATGACTTTGACGAAGCCATCCGTCGACACACGCATGGGGCCGACAGTCGGCCTCGCCGATTTTTCCATGCGAAGGGGCTCGTCTTTGCTCGATGCCCTGCGACGACGAATTCGTTTGGGATTGTCGTGTGTTTGTCAGCCTAAGATTGCAATCCATGTAAGCCAGTATTGGATTTCCGGGCGTCCTTTCGATACCCCTTAATGAATATGCTATTTAGGCTTACCAGCCGAGCTGCTCCCAGTGGCCCCTGGTGTCGAAGGGCCCTCGGAGACTTGAGGATATTGGAGCACGTCCATCGGGGACTGATGACGTCGAAGCCTGTCGACCACGGGGTGTCTCGGGCGTGCGGCCGGGACGAGCGCCCAAGGAAACCCAGCTGTTGGGTTCGGGCACGACGGCTACAATGCCGACGGCTACTCCAGGTCGGGGTTCAGACGTGACGGGTTCAACGACCTCGGCATGGACCGAGCCGGCCGAGACTATTAGGTCGTGACCGGTTTGGCCACCCGCCCCCGCCGCCTCGTGAATCCCCCGCCGGGATGGACACGTCCACTGCCTCCAGGCGGCAGAAGAGATGACTTTGACGAAGCCATCCGTCAACACATGCTTTCGGCCACGCCGGACCTCGTCCCGTTCCCCCTTCCTTGGGCGCTCGTCCCGGCCGCACGCCCGAGACACCCCGTGGTCGACAGGCTCCGACGTCATCAGTCCCCGATGGACGTGCTCCAATATCCTCAAGTCTCCGAGGGCCCTTCGACACCAGGGGTCACTGGGAGCGGCGCAGCTCGGCTGGAAAGCCTGAATAGCATATTCATCAAGGGGTATTGAAAAGACGCCCGGGTGTCCAATACTGGTTTACATGGATTGCAATCTTAGGCTGACAAACACACGGCAATCCCAAACGAAATCGCCGTCGCAGGGCATCGAGCAAAGACGAGCCCCTTCGCATGGAAAAATCGGCGAGGCCGACTGTCGGCACCTTGCGGGAGTGGGCCATCGCATACAAGAATATGTGCGAGTCCCGGCACCTGCCCGACCGTGCCAACAAGACCACAACGCTGAACACTCTCGTGCCCGGCGCTTCCTTCAGCACGGCTCAAAAGTGAGAAAAGCAGACATTTAGTCCAACGAATACTTCGATAAATGCTGTAGTTTTTCGTTCGTGTATGGGACTCGTCTCGAATGCCCGGGGTTTACTATACAATACCTGCAAAGTTTTGCAAGCTTGTTGTTGGTGTTTTCAACATATTTGTCCGATCGTTCCCCCGCCGCCGTTCTCGATGACAGATGGAAAGAAATGGCTTGTTCGGGTCGCAGTCTGTCCGCCGGAGAAAGACCTGTACGAGGCACTCTCCGAACACCAAGAAGAGTGATTCGGTACAAATCGGGGGGGGGGAGGGGGGCGGGGCGCGGGGGGAGAAGCGGGGGGAAGCGCGGGGGGGGGGCGTGGGGGGCGGCCTGGGGGGGCCCCCGGAAGGGGGGAAAAAAGGGGGAAAAAAAAGGGGCAACAATCCGGGAACCAAAAAAGCAAATTGGGTCCCCAACCGGGAGAACCCGGGACTTTTGTGGGCTCCCCGAGTGGGAGGGGCAAACTAACCGGCGTTTTACGGGGGGGGTATCCTCCACGGGGGGGGGGCGGGTCCTGGCCGGGTGTTTTTCCCCCTTTGGGGGGGGTATCTGACGACAGGGACAAAATTGGGGAATTTGGGGTCCGATTTGGGGGTTTTTGGTTCCTCCCCGCCCCAATCCTCGCCCCAT